AGACCCAATTAAACAAGATTAGTTGTAAGAGACAAGGCCCAAAATAAGTATATTTTAATATATGAAAATGTTACTTTAACAAATGTTAAGTAATTTTATATCCCGGCTGAATGCATGAATTAAATAATTACTTTAATAAGAAAAAAAATCTGTTATTTGAAACAGTTTGTTTCTTTACACAAAGCAACCACTATTGCTTTGTGTAAATAAAGCAATAGGTTACACTATTTATGGAGGTTAAGGGGTTTACTTTTCAATTAGATAGTAGAATACATGAAAGGTGATGTAAATTTCCTTTTAGACTTCATTTCCCAGATGAACACTAGCATTTGGAGTATTTTTGTTTTGAATAAAATACTGTTTTATCTGAAATACATGCATAAATATATGCAAACATAAAATGAAAATATAAGGAGGAATTAGAGTAACAGTGCAATTTCCTTCAGTGAATGCTGACTGTTCATGGAAGAACCAAGTGCCTTAAGCCCAGATTTAGACAGTAGACTTGACCCTCTTAACATCTTTGCTGAGAGGAACAAAGAATTAAAACTTTTCTCTTACTTAAATATTTTACATATTTATCATAAAACTGATAATTACTCTCCTGCCACTACTGGTATTTGACCAAAGAGAAACAGTCTAGGATGTAAAGGGTGGCTTTTGTTGTTTATGGAAATGTTAGGGTTTGACTCTGGAAACTTGGACAGTAGATTAGAGATACTTGATTGACAGCATAGGTAATGTTAATGGGAGGAGGGGGTGTAAATTATTACATATATAATATTTTAAAGTTTTCAAAAGCATTCATTTAAAATTTTATTCATGAGAATAAAAGACACAAACCATGCTTTTGTATAAAATTTTATTTTTAGTTCCTTTGCCCCATTCTCTCTTCATTTTTTAAAATAGATTTGCTGTTTCAGATATGTAAGAAATGGTTTTTGGATTCTGCTAGAAATGACCTAATTTTTGCTAATTCCTATGCATTCAAAGTTTTGTTTGCTCAGAATGGCAGTGTTATTGTCATCATTCCTCAGTAGTTAGGATAAATGCTTTTATACAAAGCTGATATTCAAAAGAATATGTTGGTACTAACTCATACATTGTTTTTGTTAAAATTGGTCTTATCTCAGGGAAAAAAATTGAATGCTAATGTACAAGTTAAAGTTTATTTATGTGTGATTCTTTATGTTATTTGGTTATTGACATTCTGAAGCATGTGAACACACACACACACACACATACATACACACACACAGAATCATTTTTAAAGAAAACCTTAAATATCTTTCTTCAAAGCAGTTATCAGTTTTCCAAAAGAGGTAGCCACTGTTTTATACGTTTGTTTTCTAGCACCTCAGAATGAAAAGATTCATTCTTCTCAACCATCTGAATACAATTTATTTTAATTAAATTATGTTTAAAACATATAGCTTTATTTTTAGTGTTTTTATTCAACTATCCCTACAGGTTAGTTACCTTTTCCCTACTTTTCATTTAAATCTCCCCCTACCCCCAATTTCTCCATTAATTTGAGTTGGGAAGTATCACTTTAAAGCTTTATAGGTAGAATTGGTTGCTTTTTATTTCATTTTTCACATATTATGCACCCTAAAAAGAATATAATACAAGTAGCAGTTTATTTCATTTTTGAAGAGGGAATCGAGCTTTTGAATAAAAATGTGAAAGAAACTAGTGTTCATTGCCTACGTGGCTTTTTAAAAAGGCTCATAAAAAACATTCCACTGTGGATTCCAAGTCCTCTTTAAACTTGCCACCAACAGAACTGCCTGCAGAGCCATGTGATCATCTTGGCAGCAGCCAGACCTTTTAGTGATTTCATTACTGTGGTTTCCTCAAGCTCTTTACACACATTGATGAATATTTTTCTTGCAGTTATCGCTGTGATGATTTTGTGGTTAATGACACCAAGCTGGGACTGGTACAGAAAGTCAGAGAACACTTGCAGAACTTGGAAAAGTAAGTAAATAAGCAGTGGGGGAAAAAAGGATTGATTGGGGTCGAGAGGTCTTTCTGAATTTTTGAGTGGGGTTTTTGTTTATGAGTTTCATAACTTCATCATGCTTTTAGTGTAATTGAAATGTTAATAAAATAAGCTTTGGGTTTGGCTATCTTAAACTGTCCATAGTTAATGGTCATATCTCAGCATTTATTTCATTTAATATTTGTCATAAATATATCCAAGGGTCCCAGGGCCTGTTTTTCAGTTATAACCCACTGACTTGTAGGCTACACGGTTTATTTGCAAGGGGAATTTTGGGGGTGCAAGGAAGGGTCAGAAGACAATATGAAATCTTTATACAGTTACCTTTGATATTAGAAAATCCTTATCAAATGTATTATGAGGTCTTCTTAGAAGCACTAAAGTTTATGTGTTCTTTTTAAAGGAAATTAGGTTTAATTACATTGTCTACTTTGAATCTTTGTGATAGCACAAGATCCTAGTTTCTTTTTTTCCTTTTTGTTTTTCCTTTTTGTTTCCACTGGAAAGTACAAGAAGCTGTAAAATGTTTTGTTATGTCACCTTAAAAAAATTAAAGTACTTATATGAATAGAATATTCTTGCTGTAGCAAAATAGGCCATTCAGATAAAACTCACTGGGCCCAAAATTCAAGCAGTTAAATAAAAATCCAAATAGCAGTGCCTTTGAAGTTGCAATGGATAGAAGCATAGTCCTGGAATGACTGCTGACTCAACTGTAATCTGTGTAAATCATCCTGGGTCATTAGGTGTCATCAAATTTATTGTCACAGTTGATATATAAAAGGTATTATGAGAATACTAGAGGCCTGGCGCACAAAATTCGTGTACTGGGGGTGGGGGGGTGGGGGTCCCTCAGCCCTGCCTGCACCATCTCGAAGTCCAGGTGCCCTCAGGGAAATGACTGACTGCCGGCTTAGGCCGGCTCTCTGCAGCAGTTGGACATCCTTAGCACTGCTGCAGAGGTGGGAGAGACTCCCATCACCGCTGCTGCACTTGCCAGCCATGAGACCGGCTTGTGGCTGAGCAGAGCTCCCCCTGTGGGAGCGCACTGACCACCAGGGGGCAGCTCCTGTGTTGGGCGTCTGCCCCCTGGTGGTCAGTGTGCATCATAGCGACTGGTCGTTCCACCGCCAGGCCGAAACCGGCTCTCTGACATTCCTCGAGGTGTCCAAGATTGCAAGAGGGTGCAGGCCAGGCTGAGGGACCCCACTGTGGATGATTGGGTTCGGGGAGGAATGCAGGAGGTTGGCCAGCCGGGGGAGGGATCATGGGAGGGCTCCAGGGCGTGTCTGGCCCATCTCACTCAGTCCCGATCAGATCAGCTGGACCCCAGCAGCAAGCTAACCTCCTGGTTGGAGCGTCTGCCCCCTGGTGGTCAGTGCATGTCATAGCGAGAGGTTGAGCAGCCTTAGCATATCATTAGGATATTACGCTTTGATTAGTTGAACGGCCGACCAGACACTTAGCATATAAGGTTTTTATTATATAGGATGCCAAAAGCAAACTTAAATGCAAAGCTAATAGAGTATTTTAAAATTGTATACTGAGAGGAAAAACTAAGTTCTTCAAATGAAACACTTATATAGCTTTGGTTAACCAAAGTCTGTATGCATCTCTTTGACTAAATAGATTATAAAGCTGATAAGGGAAGAATTTATTTCTTTAAAATCTAAACTAAAGCACTTTGGGTTTAAGTACTTTTTGGCTTGTCATCTTTTTTTGGCTTTTTTCCTTTTCAAAGCACTTCTTCCCTTAATTGGAACAAAGCAGTCAGAGCCCTATCTAGGATTAGACAAACAGATCCAAAATATTTAATTTTGTCTGAAATAGTCACAATTAACTGTGAAGTAGGAGATTCCTGTGGTATTGAAGCAATATCACTCTTTGGTGTGGTGAAGTCATTGTAAAGATCTTACTACGTTGGTGCTTTGTTATAGAATTGGGTAGCTAGCAGAATATTTTTTCTCTAAGACTACCATCTAATCCCTAATAAATTAATCAGAACTAAGTCAAAGGGAAAAGAGAACATTCAGGAACCTGCATGTAGTTATGCAGTTATCAATCTTTTATTTCCATTGACCATTTCATCATGTAAAAGATGTTACAGACCACCATGTCTACACTTCTACTTGGCCCACTGAAACATCTACCTTGTAATCAATGCTTTTCCTGTGTTGAAAAACATTACCTACGTTCATTTTTATGTTTTCAAACATAGGCTTTAGTTTATAATGGAAGCTACAATTTAAAAACTATGATTACATTTATGTTTTACTTAACTTGAGACTTTTCTGCATATTCTCTAGAGCATCACTGTGCACTAGAACTTTCTGTAATCTGCAGTGTCCAGTATGATAGCCACTGGTCACATGTGGCTATTGAGCACCAGAAAAGTGGCTAGTGTGACTAAAGAACTGAATTTTAAATATTACTTAATTTTAATTTATTTAAATATATGTTACCACATGTAGCAAGTGGCTACCATAGTAGACAGTGTGGATCTAGAGGATTTTGCTATTTTGAGACTTACTGATGGTAAATTTTAATAACTTCTGTTTTTAAAAACTAAATGTTTTATGTAGGTTAAAAATAAAGTTAACTATTAGGCATTGTCACTAAGTAGTATATGTACTATGCTTGTGATTCAACTTCTTTACTTACAGAATTTTTGAAGGAATAACTTAACATAGTAGTCTATGGAACTGGTCTATTCTTACCTTACAGCCACCAATACACTGAGAGGGACATGCCGTTCTGAAGATACGTTTCCTATGAGTGTGTTTAGATTTGAAGCAGCTATTACTAGATCTGATGCTCCAAAGACATAGTTCATGTGGAAATTCTGAAAAGAGAAATAATTTTGTATTTCCTATGGATAAGCTTAGTATTTTTAGGAGATGGGAAAGAATTGGCAGACTTGAAAGTCTGTGTTGTTTAATGATAATTTTACCACCTGATACATAATAATTTTAAAGTGACCCTTTAAAGATAGGACTTACTCTCTGATAAATTTAAGCAAAATATATCTTTCTTTTTAAAAAATATGTTTTTATTGATTTTTAGAGAGAGGGGAAGGAAAAGGAATACAGAGATAAAAACATCAATGAGACATCAATCAGCTGCCTCCTACACGCCCCCCTACAGGGGATTGAGCCTGCAACCCAGGCATGTGCCCTGACTGGGAATCAAATTAGTGACCTCTTGGTTCATGTGTCAGTGCTTAACCACTGAGCCACGCAGGCTGGGATAAAGTATTTCTTTCATCAAGAGAAATTTAAACAATTTTAATTCAGAATTTCTGTGCTAATTAGTATTTGTTTTAGAATATCCTTTGTAGCATAGCTGGATCAAATGAATTTGTATATGCCTATACTTTTTTATCATTTCGCAAACTCAGATTATGTCATAGCCTAATATGACAAATGAATAAAACATGATATCTTTATCAAAATTATAAAAGAAGTACACAGTATTTGAGACTTATGATAACTCTTAAAATAATCTTGTCAGACCAGGGTTTTCCTTTTGTTATGAGGAATGACTGTTCTCATCTTTTGAAGCTTCACCTAGGCAGATAGAGTGGGGGTGGCAAGGGATTGTCTCACAGGCTTTATCTACCTGGCCAGCTTTTCTTGGAAGCACCTGGTGGTGGCTTCTTCTGGCTCATCTTGCTGAAGGAGCGTAGGGCTTTTCCAGGGAGTGGAGCTCCTCAGTTACTTCAGTACTTTGTGGGCCACAGTGGACCTAATAGGTCATTTCCTCACCTGACTAAGCAGCAAGGCAAGGCTCCATACCCTAGACACTAAGAACAGCCAAGTTTATTCTCTAAAACCTGCTGTGAAGTCTGTGTGCATTAATGTCTTTTTGATTGTTTGTTTGTTTGTGTTTCAATAGCTCAGCTTTCACAGCTGACAGACATAGGAAAAGAAAACTTTTGGAAAACTCATCACTAAACAGCAAGTTACTAAAAGTAAATGTAAGTAATTAAAATTTATTCAAATATAAGAATTGATTGAGATATAGTCTGCTTTATTACATTAATGTTGGTCCTTGTACACTTTTATAAGTATACTAGAGGCCCGGTGCACGAAATTCGTGCATGGGGGGGGGGGGTCCCCTCAGCCCAGCCTGTACCCTCTCCAATCTGGGACCTCTCGGGGAATGTCACCTCTTACTGCCCGCCCCCCCCCCCTCCCCCACTGGCCTGGTTGCCTCTTCCTGCTCTTCCTGCCAGCCTGGTCACCCCCAGCTGCCCCCATCTGCTGGCCTGGTCGCCCCTAACTGCCCCCCTGCCGGCCTGGTCACCCCTCACAGCTTCCCCGCCAGCCTGGTTACCCCACGCAGCCTGCTGTTCAGTCGTTTGGTTGTCCCTCACTAACCCCCCTGCTGGCCTGGTCGTAGGCAGCTATCTTGTGAGGGTGTGAGGGTTAATTTGCATATTACCTCTTTATTATATAGGATGCCTTGGATTTGGAATATTTTATAAAATGTTTGCCACTTGTACCAATGGTTCTTAATGTGGCTAAATACCCCAATGAGTCCATCTGTCAGTGCCTTTCTTTTGTCAGGATTGCCACTGTACTCCTCTGCCTTAGCAAGAATTTGTGTGTTTTTTTTTTAATTAATTAATTTTATTGACTATATTGGGGTGGCATTGGTTAATAAAATTATATAGGTTTCAGGGGTACAATTTTATAATAAATCTTCTGTATATTGTATTGTGTGTTCACCACACCAAAGTGTTTGTTCTTAATGCCTACGCATGTACCTTATTACAACGTTTCTGTAAGATGCAAAGATCCTTGCTTTCTGTTAAAGGTCCCTAGTATAAAATCTATGGGTCTGAAGTATTGGTATTTTATTTCTTAGGACTTTATTAATACAACTTCACCATAAGAGAATATGCTTCCTCATTCTGGTAACCATCTGTTACCAGATGTATGAGCCATTAATGGATTAGCAAAATTTTAAAATCATGAAATATTTACTTATTTTGAAACAATTTTTATTAATTTTAGAGAGAGAAGGGAGAGATAGAGAGAGAAACATAGATGTGAGAGAGAAACGTCTATTGGTTGCCTCCCACACGTGCCCTGACCAGGATTGAACCCACCACCTTTTGATGTGCTGGACGACGCTCCAACCAACTGAAACACACCAGCCAGGGCAAAATCAGAAAATATTTTAATAATTTTACCCTGCATCTACCTCTCTGCTCTCATGCTAGCTATGTATAGACACACTCTTAATCAAAGTGTTATGATTTTGTGGAAGAAAGAGCTAAAGTGTTCTCTGGCCAACTGAATTATGGTCAGAGATGCTTTGATTTGGATGGGTAGATTCACTTCCAATGTTCAGGTGTAGTATTCAGATGTCATGATGAACTTGTAGAGCTAATTAGAAAACCAAGCCTTAGTTTAAGGGAAATTCAGGTAGTTTTTTAAGATTAATACTCTATTGCTAGAAAAACATATATTGGTCATTTATGCATGGCTTAGAGTTAAAAGTTTGGTGACAGAAATACTTGGGGTGTATACATTTATATTTTTTGTAACGTGTAGTAGTTTTAATAGAATCTTGTAACGACATTAAGTCTTAATTTTTACTTCTTTTAAGGATCTTCCTGGTTTTTGCATTGTGTACTACACGGTACTTATTAATGCTGCTTTCCTCATAAGCGTCCACAAGATACTTCCATTTAGAACAGTCCCAGGATTAGAAACAACCCTCTAAACATATGTAGACACTTATACAGAGAATATAAACAGAGTTTGAAATATTAATTGGACAGAAAAGGACCAATTCTAGATTGGCTTGAAATTGGAGTTTCAAATATAGGCCTTTGCTTTGCTTTGATGTTTGAAAAAGTCGGCCTTCTCTTGGCATTACCAATGGCCTCTTCTTGTCCCATTTTACAGGGAAGCACCACTGCCATTTGTGCCACAGGCCTTCGGAATTTGGGGAACACGTGTTTTATGAATGCCATCCTTCAATCACTCAGGTAATATGACAGAGCTTAAGTATCTGCTGTTAGTTTCTAGTGGAATAGTTAAGAGCAAAGGCTGTGGGTTCAGATCCTCTCTGCCATTGACTCTAGTCATATGGCTTGGGGCAAGTTACCTCAGTTTCTTAGATTTCTCATCAGTAAAATTGGGGATAATAATTCTACCTCACAGGTAATTGGGTAGTATATAATGTAATTTATATAAAGTGCTTATTAGAAAAGTGCCTTGCATTAAATAACTGCTAGCTGTTATTATTTATTTTCTGTTGCTTCTTGAATAGGCTAGAGCAGAGACCAGCAAATTTCTTTTGTAAAAGGCCTAATTAAATAAATATTTTTAATCTTTGCCTGCCACATACAGTCTCTCACATATTCTTTTCCCCTCAACCGTGCCCTTCCCCCCATTTTTAAACATCTGTTTTAAAATGTAAAAGCTCACTGGCCCAGGGCCAGATATGGTGTGTGGGCTGTAGTTTGCAGACTCCTGGGCTACAAGGAACCTTGTTCAGAAAACTTATTTGAATCATTAGTTGAGCCTTAAGTGTAGTCATAAGATTGGATGTTTAGAAGATCTTCAGACTGTAAGATAAGCAGTAAAAATAAAATGGTCAAGAAGGCTGCCCTAAGTTGTATAGAATAAATTATTTTGAAAGTTGTGTACTTTTAGATTTTAATGAGCCATCAAAAGTCAGAATAAATTATCTTCCCAAGACCACCTTGGGAATAAGGCAGAAGCCATATTTTATTTCTTCTTAAAGGTACTGTTAGCTTATCCAGTTTGCCCAAAGAAGAAATTTTAGTCACTACTGAATTCTCCTTGTTACTCTTTATAGTGTCTCTAAACAATATGTTTGGTTTTATGGGTTGTTTTTATTTGAGGGAATTGTTGACCACCTACAAACACCCTGAGAAGAAAGAAATGGTGACAACCATTTCTAAAGATGTGTGGGGAGGGGAGATTGAGGATTTTTTTGAACAGAGATTTTGTTTTAAGATCTTTGTTCATTTCTGCAGTCATCTATTTATACTTAGTATAAATGTGGGAACTTAATGAAGATACCCAATGCAAGAGAATACATTGAGTACAATTTAAATGAAAAATTGAGATTGTGTTTTCACAAAATCCGTATGTAGGTTTCATAGAACTTTCTTTACAGTAAATTAAAAAAAATAATTTTCTTCCCTTCCTTTTTAAATAGTAACATTGAACAGTTTTGCTGTTATTTCAAAGAACTGCCTGCTGTGGAGTTAAGGAATGGGAAGACGGCAGGAAGGCGAACATACCACACCAGGAGCCAAGGGGATAACAATGTGTGAGTTCTAAGACTATATCCTTTCTGGCTTTGATACAAAACAAAAGACTCTTACTGGTGATTTCCATTGCATATGTGAGTTCACAGGCACATACATTTTAAAAAAACTCTTCTAAAAAGTGTGTTTAAGTATCTAGCAGGTAATCTTAATAATTGTTGAAATAAAAGCCAGCATAAATTTAGCACTCTACTTACTGAGTCTTTGTGAATTTGGACATTCTAAAACTGACATCTATATATGAAATACAGTTTTAGGTGTAGACCAGCATGAATATCACTAGTCTTTGTGAATTGACTTGTCTGATATTTTGTTAGGAAAACCTGTCTTGGATAGTAAAATTAAATTGTAGTCATCAAATTAATTACAGGGACAATACAGTTAATTTTTCATTGACATGAAGAGGAGAAGAATTGATAAGTGATTATTGAGAACCAATATCTATTCAGTGCAGCCACACACTATTTGGGGTTTAGAAGATCTATCATATTTTCATGATTGTAAGGGGCACATTTTTTACATATCTCACCATTACTATAACAGGTCTATGGTTTATAATCTGGTGTGTGTTTTTTTTATTCTTACCCGAGGATATTTTTTCTATTGATTTTTAGAGAGAGTAGAAGGGAGAGGGAGAGACAGAGAGAAACACTGATGTGAGAGAGATACATCGATTGGTTACCTCCTGCATGCCCCCAACTAGGGCTGGGAGCCTGCAACCAAGGTACTGTGCCCTTGACTAGAATCGAACCTGGGACCCTTCAGTACGCAGGCTGATTATCTATCCACTGAGCCAAACCGGCTAGGGCAGTGGTCGGCAAACTGCAGCTCGCGAGCCTCATGTGGCTCTTTGGCCCCTTGAGAGTGGCTCTTCCACAAAATACCGACTTCTGCACATGGGCCACGAAGTTCCAATCACACTGTACATGTGCGCCCACACATGGTATTTTGTGGAAGAGCCACACTCAAGGGGCCAAAGAGCCGCATGTGGCTCTCGAGCCACAGTTTGCTGACCACTGAGCTAGGGCATCTGTGTATGCTTTTAATGTAATGTTTTCCCTGCCTGCCCATCCCATACCCACACCCCCATCCCACACATTCCAAAAAGCCGTCTTATAATCTGGTACTGTTCTGCCTAGGTGGCTGAGGGAGAATAGGATAGAACATGTTAGACAAGTATACGAGTATGGTTAGAGCCAAAATATGGGGCAACTTTAAAGCCAGGCATTGAAGAGGGATGGAATGACATCACTGGAAGTGGATTTTTAAGAGTTTTCTTTGCCTGGCTGGCATGGCTTAGTGATTGAGCGTTGACCTATGAACCAGGAGGTCACGGTTCAGTTCACGGTCAGGGTACATGCCTGGGTTGTGGGCACGATCCCCAGTAGCGGGTGTGCAGAAGACAGCCGATCAATGATTCTCGGGTTGCCTCATTATGCCAAAAATTGTTGTGAAGAGCCAGTTGCCCCATGTGCCTATTCATTGTGCTTCAGTATTGCCCTTCTCAGCCTCTCGTTCAGAAGGGATGGTTCATGACCCTTTAGGCTTTTTGTATTTGCAGTGTGCTTTCCAACAGTTATTTCTCACAGCATCTTTAGGACACAGATTCTCATCCTCTCAATAAACACATAGGATGAACTGGAAATCAATAAACATATATTAAAAAGAGTTCACTTTGATAATAGCATATAGGATGAACTGGAAAATGCCTGCATTCAGGGAGGCTTTACACTCTATAGTAACTAGAGGCCCGGTGCACGAACTTGTGCACAGGTGGGGTCCAGCCGGCCTACCCTGATAGGGGTGGAGGGGCCCTGATCAGGGGTGGGGCCAGCCGGGTGGAGGGGCTGTGGGCCGTTGGCCAGTTGGCCCCGCCCCCTGGTTGAACTCCCGGTCAAGGGGACAATTTGCATATTAGCCTTTTATTACATAGGATTGGGTTGGAGGGGATAGCAGTGAAATGTAGAGGAAAAATGCATGTGCACAAAACTTAAGGGAAGAGTGAGTAGTACTTGATGCATTAATATCATTCAGGGTTTAGTTACAAACTGTAGAAATTGCTTCTGGCCATGTTAAGCAGAAAAGGAACTTATTGGAGGTCTAATTGGTGTGCTAACCATTACTGGATGGGTAGAAAATCAGGTATGAAGTCTAGGCATCTAGAACCAAAGCCACAATCACCCCCACAGAACTTCCCCATGAAAACATCACTGCTTTTGCTGCCCAGTGCAACTCGAGCTCCCACTGCTGGCACTGCTGGATCTGGGTGCTTGGTGAACTCCAGATGATGATTTTTGCCACCAGAAAGGATTTGGTACTGTCCCAGCTTCTTTGCATCACTAACACCTGCTTCAAATAGGCAGAGCCCAGGCCCTGTATCCGATTCCTGCAGTGGGGGTGGAGGGATAGGCTGGGAAAGCAAGTATCTGGACTTTCCAGCTTCCATAGTGGGAGACAGGCTCTGACTCTCACCAAGACTCAGGTGGAGATTTCCTCAAACAAGTTCAGGCACTAAGTAAAAAATATGCTTTGTATTCCAGGGACCTACAGGATAACAGGTTGAGAAAGAAGATACTGAGATTCCCTGAGTTATCAATTAGGTACTCATGAGTATGGTAGTTGTATTGACAGATATAGTCATTGAAGTTGAGGAGGTGTATCAACTTAGCTACATGCATAGATAACCAAAATTAACCATGACTTAAACATCCACAGTTTATTTTCTCATGCAAAAGTTAGAAGTTTCTAGTTTTTAGGCTCCTTCTTGCTCTCTGTGCCGTCAGCCCTGGGATGGGGCTCTCAGCCACATAGTCCAAGACGGTGCTGGAGTGCCACCAGTTCATCCTCATTTCAGCTAGAAGGAGGCAGGAACGGCTAATAAGGACTATTTCTCTTTAAGGAAATTTCTCAGAATTTAAACACACTCAAAGTTTTTTATTCCAGGAATTTATGTGCCAAAGGGAAAAGAAGTTTTATTCCTACGGAGAAGACGAGAATGGATATTGGGGGACAATAGGGAGAGCACAGAGAGAAGGTTCAGTGCACATTGGGTTTGAAGTGGCAAGAGGACATTCAGTGGAAAATTCCTGTTGGAAGCTGGAGAAACCTGAATAAAAGTGGTCATGAGAAAATGTGGCTTTTAGATTTGGATTTTTGAGAGTCATTGGTATGGAGCCGAATGTTGAAGCTTTGTGGTCAGATGGACTCTCTGAGGCAGAGATGAGCAGATGTCACACTGAGGTCTGAGAAGTGCTCCTAGTGAGGGGCAAGAAGGAGAAATGAAGATTTTAAGTTTTAAAAATGTATATTCTTAAATAATTAGGTTTGTAACTTTCTCATTGCTTTATTGTACAAGTATGACAGTATTTTGGCACAGACTTCACCATATGGTTACAAAACTGGTTTTGTCAGTAATTACTGCTATTTACATGGTTTTTTGAAATGCTTTTACTTAACTGTCAGACTTAGCTTAGAAGAGACCAGGCTTTCTTTATGTTTTTATTTTTTAATTTATTATGAACTTTAGACAGTTGGACATTATGCATTGAAATAATAGCCTCTCATTAACGCGCAGGGTCTTGTCCCTTCCTCTTTTGCAGGTCTTTGGTGGAAGAGTTTAGAAAGACACTCTGTGCTTTATGGCAAGGTAGCCAAACTGCATTTAGCCCAGAGTCCTTATTTTATGTTGTTTGGAAGATTATGCCAAATTTTAGGTAAGTATTATTTAACGAAAGGTACTTAAAACATTAATATTAGTCTTTATACTGTTACTGAAACAATTTCCAATGAAGTGGTGGTATTCCAAATAGTAAAGACTGGTTTTGCTCTTTTTTTTGTTTTGGTTTTAAAGGAAGAGAACAGAAGTTGGATATATCTGACTAGACAAATGTTTGTTTAAATAATAGATATTTGAATGTCTTTAACAAAGGGTAGGGTATTTTGTTATAAAAACAAAGCCCTGTTTCCATGTCTTAGCTATTATAAACAACTATGAACATAGGGGTGTATATATTCTTTCAGATTGGTGTTTCAGGATTCTTAGGATATATTCCTAGAAGTGGGATCACTGGGTCAAACGGCAGTTCCATTTTTAATTTTTTGAGGGATCGCCACACTGTTTTTCCATAGTGGCTGCACCAGTCTGCATTCCCACCAGCACTGTACTAGGGTTCCCTTTTCTCCACATCCTCGCCAACACTTGTTGTTAGTTGATTGATTGATGGTAGGCATTCTGGCAGATGTGAGATAACTCATTGTCATTTTAATTTGCATCTCTCTGATGATTAGTGCCCAGATGAGCAGATAAAAAAGCTGTGGTACATTTATACCACGGAATACTATGCAGCAGTAAAAAAGAAGGATCTATTACCCTTTGAGACAGCATGGAGGGACCTGGAGATTACTATGCTAAGTGAAATAAGCCAATTAGAGAAAGACAAATATCACATGAACTCACTTATATGTGGAATCTAATAAACAAAATAAATTGATGAATAAAACAGAACCAGTGGCATGGGAACATGGAACAAACTGACGAATCTCAGAGGGAAGAGGGGAAGGGGGTGAGAAGAGATTAACCAAAGAATTTATATGCATATATACATTGCCTGTGGACACAGACAATAGGGTGGTGAAAGCCTGGGGGGGGCAGGAAATGGGGGGGCAGTGGGAGGAGAGAAGAGGGGACATCTGTAATACTCTCAACAGTAAAGTTTATTTTTAATTCCCTTATGAATTATTTAATGTGCTCTAGGAAAACATACTGGACAAAATTTCCTTGATTCTTTCAAAACCTTACAAAGAATAATTACTATCATACACTATCTTGTTATTTCAACTAAAAAAAATCCAAATGTAAACAGTAGATGTCTATGGTATTATATCCACAGTTCTGCTCTGGGTCCTGAAGGTTTTAGGAGACTGTAGTCAAGTCCATTGGGATTCACTTTCCAGAAGGTTGCTGGGTCCCATCCTAATGTGGCTTCAGAGTCCCTGTGTTTTCTGTGCTCGCTGTATAGCCTCACTTGAGTATGGAAAGAGCCCTGCTGTCTAGCCCTACCTCCCTCCTATCTTAGTCCTATTTTATTCATCAGCCCTAGCACTTCAGGTAATAGCAGATTTGGGGCACTGCAGGTGTTTGACAATAGCTATTACCAGCTTGTTGATTTTATCCTTCTGAAGCAATCATGGTTCTTACTACTCAGGCTTTAGGCACCTAGTGTACATCCCTCTCCTTGTTTTGTTTTAAACTAAATCAGCATGCTGTAGTGAAACTTAGCATAAATCTTGCTCTATTGCCTACTAGTGGTTTAGATATATGGGTAGTATAGAGAAATGTTTAAAAGGTAATAACTTCAAAGAACTGTAAGTTGTTGTGATTGACTATTGTTACCCCTGATCTTTGTTTTGAAGGAAACTTCTTTTATGTATATCATGCCATGTAAATCTCTCAGGAGAGACTAATTTTGTAAGAATTTTAAGATTTCTTGACTCTTAAGTAGGAAAGGTGAAAATGACTATTAAGTTACTACTGATCTGGTTTGGACTTAATATAAAATTTCTGACATGCCTAGTTAGACTGTTCATAGGGATTTAATCTTTATGTTTTATTCTATAAAATAGTTATTTATTTCTTTATTTTTAAAATATATTTTTATTGATTTCAGAGAGGAAGGGAGAGAGAAACATCAGTGATGAGAGAGAATCATTGATTGCCTCCTGCACACCCTCTACTGGGGATCGAGCCCGCAACCTGGGCATATGCCCTTGACCAGAATCGTACCTGGGACCCTTCAGTCCACAGGCTGACACTCTATCCACTAAGCTAAACCAGCTAGGGCTAGTTGTCATTTATTGAATGCCTACTATGTGCCTAGCACTTTAGATCTTTTATATCTGATCTTCATTAAAAAACACAACAAAATTCCTGTCAAGGTAGGAAGTGTTAGCCCCATTTTAAAGAAGACAACAATGAGACAGAGGAGGAACAACGTATTCAGTCTTGTACAGCTAGTAGATGTCAGGACCAGTATGAGAACCAGGTCTTTGTGGGGTTGGTTAATGATAGATCTTTTAACAGTAATTTGTCCACGTGCCTGAGTGAGGCCAGCAACTAACTCCATACTGTTCTGCTTGGTCCCTGTGATGACTCAGGCCCCTCATTCTTAATTGGGAGTTTAGAAACATTATGAAACCTTTATTCAGTAGAATTCTACTTTTCCTCTAAATCTGCCCATATCTCTTCCCTTTATATTTTCTGTAGCCCGACTGTGAGCATGATTTTGTTTTTTTTTTGTGTGTGTGTGTTTTAAAAGAATAGTTGGTTGATTTTGAGAGAGAGAAACGTCGATGTGAGAGCACATTGATCGGCTGCCCCCTGCAAGCCCCGCAATCCAGGCATGTGCCCTTGGCCGGGAATGGAACCGGCAACCTCCTGGTACATGGAAAGATGCCCAACCAACTAAGCCACACCAGCCAGGGCAAATTAACATTTTCTTCATTCATTCTTTATTGGGACATTTCTTTCTTTTAAAGATTTGGGTAAATATGGGTTGCCTCATTATGCCAAAAATTGTTGTGAAGAGCCAGTTGCCCCATGTGCCTATTCATTGTGCTTCAGTATTGCCCTTCTCAGCCTCTCGTTCAGAAGGGATGGTTCATGACCCTTTAGGCTTTTTGTATTTGCAGTGTGCTTTCCAACAGTTATTTCTCACAGCATCTTTAGGACACAGATTTCCTGTAGACATTAAGGAGAAGGAGGTCATTTTTAAGGTAAAACAAGTGAAGATAAGAAAGTGCTAAAATCGGAGCCATTTTTATTCCCCTCTTCTCTCATTTCTGCTCTGTCAGAGATGCCAGTGGGTTCTTCATATACCCATTTCCTCAGTAACTCACAAACACCTGTTTGGGTGACATCCATGAATTAATTTGTATACAAAACACAAACACTGCACCCACATGAAAGCAGTGTTTCCTTTAATGTGATTAACAAACAAGAGAAACCTAAGTTGACAGCAGAGAAAACTCTGAAGCTCATATTGTATATTTGGCAAATAATTAAAAAGGTAACTGAAGTTTGTTGAATTTAACATACTAAATATTTATTAAGACTTTCAGATAATTCAATAAAAGGTTTTATTTAAATGTTTAAAAATGGAATTATAAATGTCTCTTTAGTCAGAATCGGAAAATGTTCCTAGTCTTAAAAGAGACTGTTTTCTGGTAAAGATCACACATTAAAACAAAAACCCATAACTTACCTTTATAAAAATGCTGAGTGTTCCATGATCTCATGTAGGTAAAAAGTGTGTTTCCAGCCCTGACTAGTTTGGCTCAGTGGCTAAAGCAGTGATGGTGAACCTTTTGAGCTCGGCGTGTCAGCATTTTGAAAAACCCTAACTTAACTCTGGTGCCGTGTCACATATAGAAATTTTTTTATATTTGCAACCATAGTAAAACAAAGACCTATATTTTTGATATTTATTTTATATATTTAAATGCCATTTAACAAAGAAAAATCAACCAAAAAAATGAGTTCGCATGTCACCTCTGACACGTGTGTCTAGAGCGTTGGCCTGTGGACTGAAGAGTCCCAGGTTCGATTCCAGTCAAGGGCATGTACCTTGGTTGCGGGCACATCCCCAGCGGGCACATCCCCAGTAGGAAGTGTGCAGGAGGCAGCTGATCGATGTTTCTCTCTCTCTATCCCTCTCCCTTCCTCTCTGTAAAAAATCAATAAAATATATTTTTAAAAAATGTGTTTCCAATGGTAAAAAACACACATTAGAATATAATGTGTTTTGATAAAAGAATATAAAATCATGGTGTGGTTGGAATCATTCATTGGTATACATTAGGAACATTTTTTTTTCTTTTTTCTTTTTCTTTTTCTTTTTTTATTTTTATTGCTTAAAGTATTACAAAGAGTATTACATATGTCTCTTTTTTTTCCTCCTTGACATTCCCCCTAGGAACATTTTTTTTTTAATGTATTTGATGAAAATGCAAATTGGCATAACTACAAAGTACTGGTTTTTCATGATCCATTTTAGAAACATGATGATTAGATATCAGGTTATTTTGGTGAAGGAACGAAACTATTTTTATATGTGTAGAACTTCACACATGTCCTAAAGTAGTAATACTACCTTTGAGTCATGAAAAAAAAAAAAAGGATGTTATATTGAAAAGGTTTAAAGCACCTCGTTAGGTACATAAAGGAACTACCAACTTTGAATGAATAGTTTTGACTGTGAATGTAAACATTTATTCATATGAATGTTAGAAGAAATATTTGAACACATGTTGAAATTTAGTAGCTAAGTAGTTCAGAAAAAGTTATAGTGCAGTGCTGAAGTGACTTCTGATTTAAGTTTTATTGATTAGGCAGACTGTTTTCATAATTTCTTATTTCCAGGAGAAATTTCAGGAAAAGGGGGAAAATATAGATTGAGGGGAACTCTGGTTGAAGGAAATTTTGTTTATGGAACCATTGCCTGGAAGAGCGGTGGAAGTTTTGACTCAAGACCAAGCCAGAAAACCTTGAGATTTAGAGGATAGATTAAAGAGAACCTCCCATGCTGGCAAAATGTAGGCAGAAGTCTTTTCCATCAACAGTTTTATGCAAGTACCTTATATTTCATTGCTTGATTTATTTTTTTCTACATAAACCTCTGTGACCTTCCAGTTGTATCAGCTTTATTTTCTGTCAGTCTTCATTTCTGTTTACTTGTCATCGATTTGCATTAGTATAAGAATTCCACGTAATTTCCTATCTGAATATAGTGAAAGAAGTAACCTAAGAATATGTTGCTATATATATTCAAATTTTAGGATAGAGAATAATTGTGTATGAGTCAATGCATTTTTAAAAGTATTTATTTAAAAGTGTCTTTGGAATCGAGATTAGGATTTAGGTATAGAATGTTAGATGTCTTCTTAACTTTTTAGAAAATTTTTCTTTTCCTTTCAGCCAGTGCTTAAAAATTAGTATCTTTCAATCTAAAGAATTAGTTTTAGATTCCTTATTTCATGTGGTGGTGGTTTAGATCTAGTTTTATGGTGAGGTTAAGATGTGAAATTTTAACATTTGAGCATCTTCTGGAGGGGCCAGTGGGACAGTGGGAAGATTCAGAGTCCATCCAGGAGAGACACATGGGTTATAGCTCTGTCTCTGCAGGACTTTAGGCAAATCACACCCTCACACCCCTTTTTTTACCTCATCTCTAAAGTGGGGTCAGTTGAGATTACTACAAGTCCAATTAGCTCTAAAATTCCATGTTTTCAAACAGTAGAATTATTTTTCTTGTTGAGAAATTTTGTGTGTAAAACATGGAGCATGTGGGGATGAAAAGTCTCCAGGAGCCTCGCTGTGTCTGAGCTCTGAGCGCAGGGCTATATCTCCGCCCCACGCTTCTCCCTCCTGTGGCTTTGGCTGGGCAGGTGGAGCCTCCTCCATGACAGACTGTTTCTGTTTGTTTCAGGGGCTATCAGCAGCAGGATGCCCATGAATTCATGCGCTACCTTTTGGACCACCTGCACTTGGAACTCCAGGGCGGTTTCAATGGTGTTTCCTGCTCACCAATTCTGCAGGAGAATTCTACCCTGTCTGCAAGTAACAAATGTTGCATGTAAGATTTAATTTCCTTTGCTGTTTTAGGAGCACCTCAGATATTTCTGTTGGTGTTATTGTTTGTTAGATTTATAATGGAAGCGGAGAGTTTTCCTTAATCTTTGCCACAAATGTTTGCTCTTGAACTTTGTGACCAGTGGACTGGCACATGCCTCCCACTTCCAGACCAGAGGCATCTTGTATTTGCATCTTGGTGTAGTTCTGATTGTTATTTGGGATAGATCATTTTAAAACTTGAAAAAAAAATAGAAAATATTTGTACAATTTAGCACTTAAAAGTTTTCCTCCAGGTGTACTGAAGAATGGCTCAAAGACTTAATTTTTGTATATTAAAAGTAATTATATTTGTTCACTAAAAACAAAGGCTTAAAATATTTGAATGTGAATTTTCCTAATGCCTCATTCTGGACTTGAATTTTCTTTAAGTATATCTGTTCTTTATTGAAATTGAGGAATTTGTAAGTTCTTGAAAATTTTTCTTACCTCTCGATATGAACAAAATAAACCTTTTAGGTTGCTTTTTCAAGTACTAATAACCCAGAATTGACATTGAGATTATTATGTTTATTTTGCTTGAGAAATAGATATTTTATGATATTTGAGCTTGGATATTAGTTAATTGTAGTTTTCTTCTGTTCGTATTTTTGAAAAGTTTGTGGTGACCTATGTAGGAAAGGGATTTATAAGACAAACTCCCCAAAGAAAGAAAGAGTAGGAAATATATAGAGGTTGTAATATTGCCTGGAAGTTGCTATGTCTGATATGTAAGATAAGGTCTTTTGAATGACTAAACAGCCTCATAGCTAATCTGGCTGTGTCAGAGAAGGGTAAGCAATATGAATTTCCATACTTCTCAAAATGTTTGACCTTCCAGGTCCTAGTTAGCTATGGTTCCAATTAGAATCTAGTACAGAAAGGAAAGGACCTGCCTGCAGGTGTAGCTCAGTGGTTGAGTGTCGACCCAAGAATCAAGAGGTTGCTAGTTCGATTCCCAGTCAGGGCAAATGCCTGGGTTGCAAACTCAATATTGATGTTTCTCTCTCATCGACGTTTCTATCTCTCTATCCCTCTCCCTTCCTCTCTCTAAAATCAATAAAAAAAAAATTAAATTTAAAAAAAAGGGAATTACCTATGTCTGGAAGAATTGTTCTTGCTGCTAGCACCAAATTAAAAATAGTATTAAATGAAAAATTTTGTTTTGTATTTTGACTTGATTGGTATCCTTTTCTCAGAAGCAGAAATGATAAAAGAAGGACTACACTGAGTTTAAATGTTCTGCTTTGAAATAGAGTAATTTCTCTTTAAATTAAAGGCAGCATTGTATGTGAGTCAGTATGAGAGGATCAGTCAGAGTCTCTTTATTTTCAGTAGTTATTTTTTGGGTATGCCTTTTGTTTATGACACAGATACTAAACCTAACACCTGAAATAGCCATTGTGTTCTACAGTTCCCAATATATCTTCCCTTTTTTTTAACTTCTAAACAAAAGCCAAATATCTTATGAACAACTTAAAAAATAATAAAGCTGCAATATATTTCTTTTTCCAGTAAAGGAAGGAAGCCAAAGGAAGCAAATGTTTAAAATAATAGAATTGCCTATCTCATCACTGCAGTTGATTCAGAGCAGTTCAGAAAGTACAGCTCAGTGTATTAGCATTATTGATTGCAAGTGTCAGAAAGCACCTCAAATTTCTATTAACATAGAAGCATTTACTGGCTGAAGTTAACTGTTTAAGTGCACAGAGGGTGATATGTGTGTGTTGTACTATTAATGACAGCAAAATATTGAAACAACCTCAGTGTTCATTAATATTATATTGGTTAAGTTAAGAGCAAGAGCATAGTGTTAAGAACAGCTGCTTAGGCCAGACTAGCTGTGTGACCTTGGGCCAGGTTACTTAACCTTTTGGACTTCAGCTTCCTGGTCTGTGAAATGGGGATAATCACGTCTACCTCATAGAGTTGTTGTGTGGGTTAACTGAGTTAATAAATACAAAGTACTTAGAATGGTGCTTTGCATGTGCTATTATGATAGCACTAGAGGCCCAGTGCACGGATTCGTGCACCAGTGGGGTCCCTCGGCGTGGCCTGTGGGGATTGGGCTGAAACTGGCAGTCAGTGGGGCCACTCATCCTGGCCCCACTGCACCTGCTGTGAGCTCGCACCCAGTCAGTTCCAATCAGGAGAGCCGTGAGCCGTGTCTGGTGCTCGTTGGTCAGCTGAGTGGTGCTCCCACTGTGGGAGCGTACTGACTACCAGGGGCAGCGTCTGCGTTGAGCGTCTGCCCCCTGATGGTCAGTGTGCGTCATAGCGACTGGTCATTCGGTCGCTTAGGCTTTTATATATATAGACTAGAGGCCCGTTGCACGAAGAGGTTCGTGCAATAGGCCTTCCCTTCCCCTGGCTGCCGGCACCGGTTTTCCTGCAGCACCCGGGACCCAGGCCTTCGCTCCAGATGGAGCCTTCAATCTTCGTGGCTCTGGACGGAGACTTCAGTCTTCCCTCCGCCGCTTTGTCCCTACGTATGCAAATTAACCGCCATCTTTGTTGGGTTAATTTGCATACTCTCCTGATTGGCTGGTGAGTGTAGCAGAGGGACGGTCAATTTACATGTTTGTCTATTCTTAGGTAAGATGCTCTCACTAGTGCACTTTCTCAGTTGTTCTTGTGTTCATTCTATGTGCATACTGTGGCATGCCATGCAGCTGTCAAAAAAGTGGGGTACATATTCAAAATATGTACTTAAGGAAATAAGAGCAAAAAGCAGGTATGATCCTAATTATTTAAGGGCTTTCTTTTTGGTAAGCACTTGCCTAAATGCACTATACATACATAACTCATTTCATCTTCACACCAGGCCTCTGAGAGAAATAGACATTGTTCCTGTTTTACATTTGATGAAGTTGAGGCAACAAGAGGTTCACAAACATTAGGACAATTGTTTTGTTTTTTTTATTAAAGCGGTGTATTCTTGATCTCCACAAAGGAATCCTATATAATAAAACCCTAATATGCAAATTGACCAATGGCAGAACGACTGGCCACTATGATACTCACTGACCACCAGGGGGCAGACGTTCAATGCAGCTCCTGCGTTGAGCATCTGTCCCCTCAAGAGGGAGGTGACTGGCGGTGGGGGTTGGGGGGTGGTGCTATCCAGCGGGCGGCGCCAGGCCACCAGCCAAGGCAGGTGCCAGCGGGGGTCCTCCCAATTGCCCCGCACATCAGTCATCCTGCAGAGAGAGGTGACCGGCAGTGGTGGCGGGGGGCAGGACCGGCGAGCAGGTGGTGCCAGGCCGCCAGCCAAGGCGGATACCAGCAGGGGCCTCCCGATCACCCCGTCCACCAGTCGCCCCACAGATGGGCCCTGATCGCTGGCCAGGCCTAGGGACCCTACCCTATCTATATATTGGGAGCAGTCTCTTAGATTTAAAAATTAAAACCTGGCAAGGCTGCTCTAACACTGAAAAAACAGGATGATGCAGCAATGACATGCATGAACTCTGGCTTGTACATTTTGTGGTCAGCCCTGATTCTGACACTTATAACTGTGTGACAAAGCCAATTACTTAACTTCTCTCTGCTTCAGTTTTTCCACCCATAAGATGGGGAAAATGGTACTACTGCCTCAGAAGGATCATGTTATGTACTACTTTTTATAATCAGGGCAAAAAAATGTAGCTGCCCATACAACAGCAAGATGCCTTTCACCTGTATGAAAAGTATGGTCACTGGTGCATGCAGCATCCTGGATTGTGAGAGGGATGTCCGACTGCCGGTTTAGGCCCTATGGGGATCGGGCCTAAACCAGCAGTCGGACATCCCCTGAGGGCGCAGGCCGGGCTGAGGGACTCCCCCATCGTACATGAATTTTGTGCACTGGGCTTCTAGTTATTTATAATATTTTAAGTGAGCTTTTTAAGTCTCATTGACAGTAACATTCAGCACTTTAATTGTGAAGTTAGAACTCCCTCAATAACTACTAAATAAGTATGAAATTTCTTCTTTTTCCCCAAACCTGACAGATGACCATCTGAAAAATGGAAATCTACTTCCGATTGAGGTAGTGGTTCAAAGTAAAGGAATTGAGAGCTCCCTGTAAGATGAGAGGCCTTTCAAAGACTCAAATACAAGGCAGTTCCCACTTTTCTTCAGCATATAATTTTGGGGAAGGTGTTCTCTGGCCCTGAGTGTAGGCACTTACGTGACTCCTGTTAGGAGTGGCAAATGTCCAGTGTTGGTTACTGTTGGAGCAAGTAGTGGATTGGAAGAGGGCCTGTGGGGAGGCCAAACAATGGCTTAACTCTTTTATTTAGAATACATTTATATAGATTTAAAGTTTTTGCATTATTTTGTATTTTGTAATTTAAATATAAATTATTTTCTTTTTTTTACTGAGATGTTTTCTCATGTGATTTTCTTTAGAAATGGAGCATCTACAGTTGTCACGGCTATATTTGGAGGCATTCTCCAAAATGAGGTTAACTGCCTTATATGTGGGACAGAATCTAGAAAGTTTGATCCATTCCTAGGTAAGACATATTTGGTATGTGGAGATATGATATTGTAATAAAATAATTTTATTTCCTTTGAAAATTAAGACAGTGGAGATAAATCATTAAAAATACATCATTTGCCCTAGTCGGTTTGGCTCAGTGGATATAGCATCCGCCTGCAGACTGAAGGTTTGATTCTGGCCAAGGGCACATGGCTGGGTTGTGGGCTCGAGCCCCAGTAGGGGGCGTGCAGGAGGCAGCCGATCAATGATTCTCTCTCATCATCTCATCATTGATGTTTCTATCTCTCTCTCCCTCTCCCTTCCTCTCTGAAATGAATAAAGAAATATATATTTTTTAAAAAAAACATTTTTTGAAATTACTTTTTGAGTTATATGACTTTAACAGTTGTTTTCCTATTTCCTTTTAAGACCTTTCATTAGATATTCCAAGTCAATTCAGAAATAAGCGCTCTAAGAATCAAGAAAATGGACCAGTTTGTTCATTACGAGGTAAGAAATTAATGTTCTAGAATTCTTTTTTCGCTTTGAAATACCCGAATATGTTTGTAAATTCCATCAATACGTGCTGTGTTGTTAATCACTTTAATGAATTTGTGTTGTAACTTAACAAAAATCAACCTGGATGTCTCTTCCTGTCCCAAAAAATTCTGTTTAATGAGAATGCCTGTTAGAGATAGTAGGGCAAGCATAAAACGTTTCTCACTTTTCTCTTTTAAAAGTGAAAGTTCATAACAAAACCTTTTCTGACCTAATGAAATAGAATTATGCTATGGATATCCCACTAGCATCCACAGGAAGAAAGAAAACTCAGCAAAGTTTTATGAATTATGGTGTTATTTATGCTTTTGTATGACAAATAGTGTGAGGAATCTGTTGATACTACCATTGGTTAAACATAGGCCCTACTTTTAATTGCAAGAATATTAAAATTTACATTTACTTTGCAAGATTTTGAACAACTTTTTTCCTTGATGAGTTTTAACTACTTTAGTCAAGGCAAGAAACCTATCCTTCACCAGCCACTATAATGACTAATTGTTCTTTTTAGTCATAAAAAGAAGAAACTAGGATAGAAAAAGGAGGACCTAATACATGTTCTATCATTAAGCAACTGTACACTGAAGGCAAGCAACATAATTTCTTCCCTAAATTGCATGTTGACTAAAAGTAATTCTTTTCCCTTCAACTGTTTTAGGGAGTATTGTCACAATTATAGTTAGACTAGAGGCCCAGTGCACAAATTCGTGCACGGGTGGGGGTCGGGTGGCCCAGCCCCAATCGGGGTATATTGGGGCCGGGCCTGTCGGGAGGAGGAGACGGTTGGAGGTTGGCCAGCCAGCCTTCCCTGATCGGGCGATCAGGACCCTGCTGGCTTGGGGGAGGGGCTGAGGGCAATTGGCCGGCTGGCCCACCCCTGAATGGGTGGGGTGGCCAATTGGATGCCAGCAGCCTGGGGGAGGGGCCATGGGTGGTTGGCTGGCCATCCTTTCCCCTAATCGGAGTGGGGGGCCGATCGGGGGCAGAGCTGACTAGGGGGAGGGGCCGCGGGCGATCAGGCTGGTTGGAGCTTATCGGGGGTGGGGCCAGCTGGAGGGAGGGGTTTTGGGAGGTTGGCCCGCCAGTCCCATCCTCGATCTGGCCGGGTTTGCTGGCTGCAGTGGGCGTCATAGCGACTGGTCGTTATAGTTGTTATGGCATTTTTGGTCCGCTGGCTTTTAGATAGATAGATAGATAGATAGATAGATAGATAGACAGACAGACAGACAGACAGACAGGAAGGTTTTGTGTGTGGTTTTTAAAAAAGAAGAGATTTGAAAACTGCACTGCCTTGTATGGCAACCATAGTTGCATCTGGTTATTAAAATGCAATTAAAATGAAATTTAAAATTTTTGTTGCTCACCTGCACTAGTCATATTTTAAGTGTTCAGTAACCATGTGGCTAGTGGCTATGGTATTCAAGCACAGATGCAGAACATTTCCATTATTGCAGAAAATTCTACTGGACAGCACTGCTCTAGAATCAACTTATCTGAGTAAAAATATAGCTGTTTGGGGAGGGGCACGCTTCTGTGTGTCACAGGTGCATTGTGCGGCATTCGGCTTGTTAAATAGGAGCAGCAGAGTCTTGCTTGTAGAACTGTTGCTCAGGTAGTTTCTGGAAATCTCTCAGCTGATGACGGTCAAAGGCACTGGACTACCCTGAGAAACAAGAGCAAACCAACCCTCATAGATGCTTTCAGTTTGTTCCCACCTGTGTGAGTGCTGATTGTCTCTGTTGAACAGGAGTACAGAAGTTTAAGGAAGCCCTATCCACTCCACTTCCTCCTAATATATAGGCTATTGTGTGTTTATCCAAAACTGTTTTTGGCTTTGAGATCAATTTTTTAAATATCACAGTATACTTGATATCAGATATACTTTATATTTGTAGCATGTGAACACAGGTGAACTTAATCTATAATAATAACAGCGTAATATGCTAATTAGACCAGACAGCCAAACGACCTTCCGGATGTCATTTTGAACGTCCTTCCTGACGAAGCCGTGGCGGGGGTGCCGAGGCAGAGATGGTTAGGGGTGATCAGGCAGGCAGGCAGGCAGAGTGGTTAGGGGCGATCAGGCAGGCAGGCAAGTGGTTAGGGGCAATCAGGCTGGCAGGGAGAGTGGTTAGGGATGATCAGATAGGCAGGCGTGTGGTTAGGGGTGATGAGGCAGGCAGGTGAGTGGTTAGGGGTGATCAGGCAGGCAGGCAGAAGCAGTTAGGGGTGATCAGGCAGGCAGAAGCAGTTAGGGGTGATCAGGCAGGCAGGCAGAGTGGGTTAGGGGCAATCAGGCAGGCAGGCAGGTGAGCGGGTTAGGAGCCAGCGTCCCGGATTGTGAGAGGGATGTCCCGGAATGCAAGAGCATACAGGCTGGCTGAGGGACCCCCTCCCCCATGCATGAATTTCATGCACCTGGCCTGTAGTCATAAAATAAACATTATTTGATCAGTTAGAGGGAATCAGTAAAAATTAAATTATTAAAGGAATTAGCCTAAAACTATATAATCCAAATTGGATTGACTTCATTTTGAAATTTCTCCAATAAGAACAGTATTAATATTGACATTAATTAAAAAAAAATACTGTTCCTTGATATAAATATGTGGGTATATATTTAAAAAGTATTTCCTAATATTTAACAAAACCCAGTAAATCCAGATGATCTTTGGTGGAAGCCCCAAGAGACACTGGTTTCAGGCTTCTTTCCCTTTCTTTTGCTGTGTCTCCCCCCCCTCCCACCCCCAGCCCGAATTGGTCATATCCATGGTTCTTACCGCTCTCTGTAGCATTGCACTTACTACCCATCCCAGATGCTTTAATACCAACCTTCCTTTCTTAAGACCATCCTGGAGAGTGTATGATACAGCTTAGATGGTTGATTGGTACTAAAAACAAGAAAAATGGCAAATGGAGTTGATAAACGTGAAACAAACATTTGTAACATATATGAGAAAGAGTACTTGGGCAAAGTATATTAAGAAGAAAAATGCAAATGGTCAGTTTAACATCTGAAAAATGTCTCACATTTTCAAGTATAAGTAAAACAAAATTGGTCAAAATGATAGATAATAGCCATTGTTAGTGAAAATTTTTGAAAGTGGGCACTCATATTGGTGTTAGGAGTATAAATTGGTACAGTTTTTGGAGGGTAGTGATCATTTTTAATAGGCATTTCCTTAGACATAGTAATTTCACTTGCAAATGTGGACAGTAGCATATGTAAATGATATTCATTGGAGCATTCTTTCTTACTGCAAAAAAATCAGAAACAGTTTATATACCCAATAGTAGGGCATTGGCTCAATAAATTATACTATGTAGCAATTAAGAAATCTAAAGTTGATGAATAGCCCAGGCACAGAAAGATAAATACAAAATATTGCAGAATAAAACCCACCATGGATGGATGTATATTGAATTAATCCATTTGTGTAAGATAAAAAAAACATTCGTATGAGCATTAAAATTCTTGAGCAGCATACACCGTCTGTTCACAGTGATTATCTTAGGGAATGGGATTCAGGAATAAATGGAATTGTGACTTCTTTTTCATGTTCTTTTATATTGTTTGAATTTTTTAACTTGTGTCACCTTTATAATTATGTATTTATTTGAGAGGAATAAAAATGTGGATTAATTCATGCATACTTCCCAATTACTGCTTTGCTAAATTAAATTTACATAATACATAAAAATGACTTAATAACTTCAACAAACCAGTTTTATTCCTTGCTTTCCGTAGGGATCCTATTTAACAGTTAATATAATGTAGAAGACTGACACTTGTGAAATATATGCCCTGAAACCTTTGAGAATCTTAGGAGTTTCAAAAACCACCAAGGCATTTTTTTCCCCCTCATGAAATACAAATGAAAATTTAAGCAGCTTCTTAAAGTCCTTAATGAGAGAAGTGAAGGTCACTAGAGAACAACAAAGCTTCACTGAGATGTGACTGTTGGGAACCTACTAGAGATAATTCACTTCCATATATAAGCTTTGAGGTGAAATTCCTATTTGTGCTGCTGCAAAATATTACTCTAGTACATTCAGGGTCAGACTGTTCAAATATTTAAAACTAGAGGCCCAGTGCACGGAATTCGTGCACTTGGTGCGGGGGGCAGGGGGAGGGTCCCTCAGCCCAGCCTGCGCCCTCTTGCAGTCCGGGAGCCCCTCGAATCAATCGCCCCACAGAGGGAGGCCCTGCCCTCAGGTTGGTTGCCTGGGCCTCCCTCTTTGGGTCGATCGATTGCAGAGCCCCCCCTCCCCGATCAATCGCCCTGCAGAGGGTGGCCTGGGCCTTCCTCTGTGGGGCAATCATGGGGTGATGGTGGGGCCCCCCAACCAATCGCATCACACCCGTCTTGGCTGGCCTGGCGCCAGTGCGTGTCATAGCATGGTCATTGGGATGGTCGTTCTGCTGTTCGGCTGTTCAGTCGATTTGCATATTACACTTTTATTATTATAGATGGCAACTGTCAAATCTATGAATGTAGAGGAGATGCTGTATTGAGGCAATCTTCCTCTTAAAGAGATATGTATGTGGATGTTTTTTCATAATGGTTTTCCTTATTACAAACAAGGAAAATTAAAAGAGTGCAGAAAGGAAAATAAACACCCATTCCTTATAAGCCCAGAAATACCATGGTTAAGAATATTTGTGTTTAAAAACGGATTTAAAAGCTGTTTTATAAAGGGGCAGCAGTTGGAACTTTTTAGGAAAAAAAGTATGTTCTGTGTTTTGTTTTTTAACCCATAGAAACCATTACAAATGGGCATTAGGTTTTCAGAAGAGCTTAAGAAGCTTTTAAAAACCCAGATGGAGATGACTGTGGTAGTTCTGCACTAGCTTAGTGAGAGTGTATGATGTTGCTTCTTTGTTGAAATTCCCTAGTGGCTGCCCCGGGCACACCAGCCTTCTGACCTGATGCAGCTGACAGTGAGGCTGCTTCATTGTCTGGGTACAGTAGCAATTGTGGGACTCCTGAGCCTGTTGTAGCTGCAGGGAGAGGTGTGAAAAGAAAAGAAAAGGGCTCCTAGAGGCAGCTGGGCCACCATTTTTTAAACCGAGTGCTTGAAAAACCAGGCTCAGCTTGTATTGCTTGTTTGACATGCTTGCATGGGCCTTTCATTCTGTTTTGGTTTATCACATGGCCTCACATGAAAAGGAGGAAACGGCGCTATCTTGTGCATAAATGGGCTGTGGGACCACTTTGTGGTCACCCTGTAAGTCTTAGCTTCTCAAAAAGGTAGAAGGAAGAAAATGCTGGGAAGCAAGAAATGCTGGGAAACGGCGAGAAGCTGAGGGATGGGAGGTTGCTGGAGGAAGGGGGCTTCATTAGAGAAAAGGAGCAGGTGGTGCAGGGCCCGGTGCTTCCACCTTTTAGCTATTGTGAACAATGCTGTTTTGAACATAAATGTACAAATGCCTGTTTGAGTCCCTGCTTTCAGTTCTTTTGGGTATAGACCTAGGAGTGGAATTGCTAGATCATATGGTAATTCTATGTTTAACTTTTTGAGGAACCACCACACTGGTTTCCTCAGTGGCTGCACCATCTGACATTCTCATCAGCAAATGCATGAGGGTTCTAATTTCTCCACATTCTAGATAACATGTTATTTCCCATTTTTTTGTTTTTTAAAAATAATAACCATCATGAGTGTAAAATGTATCTCATTGTGTCTTGTTTATTTTTTAAACTTTATTTATATATTTTTTATTTTTTAATCCTTACCCGAGGATATTTTTCCATTGATTTCGTTTTTTTTTAAATATATTTTTATTTATTTCAGAGAGCAAGGGGGAGAGAGAGAGAGAGAGAGAGAGAGAGAGAGAGAGAGAAAGAAACATCAATGATGAGAGAGAATCATTGATTGGCTGCCTCCGGCATGCCCCCTACTGGAGATCTAGCCCGCAGGCTGACGGTCTATAAACTGAGCCAAACCAGCTAGGACTCATTGTGGTTTTGATTTGCATTTCCTAATAATGAAGTTGAGTATCTTTTCTAGTGCATGTTAGCCATTTGTATATCTTATCTTTGCCCATTTTTTAATTGGGTGTTTTTTAAAGTAAACCATCCAAGCATTTTTATTTATTAATATTCATAAATACAGCAGTTTCATTAGAGGCTAGATAAGTAAATATTTTAGGTTTGCCCAGCCGGCATGGCTCAGTGGTTGAGCATTGACCTATGAACCAGGAGGTCAGGGCACATGCCAGGGTTGCAGGCATGCAGGAGGCAGCTGATCAATGATTCTCTCTCTCCCTCCCTCTCTGAAATCAATAAAAATATTTTAGGTTTTATAAAGGTCCATGTCCCAACTACTCAACCCTGCTGTTGCAGCCTAAAAGCAGCCAGACAATATATAAAGGAGTGGGTGTGGTTGTGTTCCAGCAGAACTTTATTTACAAAACCCAGGGTGGCTGGTTGTGGCTTGGAGCCACAGTTTACCAAGCTCCAGACCACACAGATCATTTTTAAAAGTAGGTGGATAGATAGGTAGATAGTTAGGTAGATATGTGGTCTATCCAAGGGACTGAAAGTAAAGTCTGGAACAGAGGATTTGTTGCAGTACAGGAGGAAGGTTGATAAGGTAGCCTTCTGTAATCTATGTTTATTTTCTAATAAGTTATGACTTTGAAACTGCTTGATCTAAGGTGATTTTTTTATGAACTTTGAGAGAAAATTGCTGTTTGAACCTTGATTTCATTAGGGTAGTTTTTAAATTTTTAAATCAGAGTTATTCAGACTATCTCATTAACAACAGCAAACCCAACAACAATAATACCAACTTAAAAAAAATACCATCTGTCATTAATTGATCATTACCAAATGTCAGACATGATGCAGGCACTTTGTACACATTATTTGTCTCCCTTACAGCAGTTCTTCACAATAGGTATTATTGTTGTTGTTGTTGTTGTTTTATCTTCATTTTATAACTGAGGAGAGCTGACTTTTTCACAGTCACACATAGCTAATAGAGCTGAGATTTGAACCTAACTTGCTTTCAAAGTTCAGTCTTTTTCTACAGTACACTGCCTCTATTAAAGGCTTCCTGATGTAATGCTGCCAAAATCAATTTGGTTTTAGATTGTCTTCGCAGTTTTACCGACCTAGAAGAGCTTGATGAGACAGAGTTATATATGTGCCACAAATGCAAAAAGAAACAAAAGTCCACTAAAAAGTTTTGGATTCAAAAACTCCCCAAGGTAAGTGTTGAGTTTCAAAGCTTAATGCAGTTTCAAGGGAACAGTGCTTTTATGACTGATGAAAAGCAAATTGTTTCTGTAACTTTATGTAATCTCTCCTGTATTAGTCTCTAGTGTTTTCAGTAAAAGCTAAATAAACCCTCTGATAAGGCATAAATGTGTCCCCATCATAGTTTGTAGTGTGTGGAGGGGAGAGAGGTCCCAATGCACCAGCTGGGTGACCTACACTCCAGCTCAATTCTGATACTCGCTGAAGGGAATGTCATCTTAAGGGCTCAGTCCCACGACTGTCCTCCGCTTCAGAGCCAATCATAAGCCCAGGTTGCTCCTTTAGGTTTCTGACCTACACATTGGAGGTTATCTTACCCGCACCCCGCCCCCCCCCTCCACATACACACACACTTTGCACTTTAGATGCCTATTCTTCTGATTGGCTATAAATCAGAGATTTCCAACCTCCCTCCTTGGGTTCCATTAATTTGCTAGAGCAGCTCACAGAACTGAAGAAACCTGTTTAGTCGCTAGATTACTGATTTACCAAGGATAGGAATCAATAACGAGATAAAGGATACATAGGATGAGGCCCCAAAGGACCCTCCTGTCTTGTGGAGTTTGGGGCCCAGCATGGGGCATATGAAAGCATTCTGCTTCCCCAACCTGGAACTCTGCAGGTGCCCTCATGACATAGACATAACTGGTTAAAATCCTGGCCATTGGCCATTGATTCAACTTCCAATCCCTATACCCTACCAGAGAGCAGGGAGGTAGGGCCCTCATCCTACAGTGAGGTCCACCAGTCACCTCATTCACATAACAAAAGACCTTGATTACTCTCATCACTTAGGAAATTCTAAGTTTTAGGAGCCATATACCAGAAAAGAGAACTACGACCAAATAATACGTTTCATTATTACAAATCATAATATCACAATAGTATCTGCATGGAAGAAAGCAATGTCAAGGATCAAAAGATAAACTGATAAGCCACCTAAAATATTTGAGAGACAGTTAACCAAGTAGTTTGTTTAAAATCTTTGCCTTTGTTTCTGATCCAGGTGCTATGCTTACATTTGAAAAGATTTCATTGGACAGCATATTTAAGAAACAAAGTTGACACATATGTAGAGTTTCCACTGAGAGGTCTTGACATGAAATGCTACTTACTAGAGGTAAGGTAATATCATTGTTAGCTGGTGAGAAGACGCTCTTCAGTAAAATTAAGTCTTCACTGACACAGGGTAGAGGTCATTGAGGTGGGAGATACGGATGCCATTGACCACTGCTCCTAACTCGGTCCTGGGATGCCTTCTCCCTTGTCCACAGCCTGAGAACAGTGGCCCTGAGAACTGCCTGTACGACCTCGCTGCTGTGGTGGTGAGTATGTCAGCGGGCTGGTCCCAGTTAGGAATAGCACCACTCTTGATAATTCTCCCCAAACTCCCTAAAAAATGTGGATTCAGGTACATTAACCCTTTGAGTGCCAACCAATATCCTAGGAACTGTGCTAAAATTGCCAAGGCATTTTTGCTGATTTTACAGCAGTTTAGGAAAAAAATTATGAATCGCAAGTAAATGAAGTTACATATTCAAAAACTTAAGGAAACCTTTACTACATTGAGATATTTAGCAATATCATCATCACTAATAAAAGCAGACTTAGAACTGGACGCCATTTTGAAGCTTTGATAGCGCTCACGGCACTTTTGGCGAAAGACAGAAGGAGCGCGATTGCGCTCCCCGGCACTCTAAGGGTTAAAGTGGGTGAAATAGAATTTTCCTTCAGTTTTGGTGTGAAAGAATATTCCTGCAAGAATATTGTGAAGTGAAGGCACATAAAAGCTAAATGGGACGTGGTTTACACAAATCCGGAGCATTCTTTACTCAAGTAATTTCCTTTGCCAGTTGATGTTTAAATAGGGAAAATGGAAAATTATTTATAACTTACTTCATGTCCTGTACTTCATTTTTTATTTTGTTGAATAATTTTTGATTATTTTTCTCCCTTAAAGTTTGGTCTGTTTGAGAATGACTATTTTACCTTCAAAAAACCACTATCTATATTGAATATCCTTTTCCTCAGAACTTTGTAGACTTTGCTCCATTGATTTCACCACTCAGAATTATAAACACGCCCACTACAATTCTGACTCTTTACTTCTTTTTTAAAAAATATTTTTTTTTATTGACTTCAGAGAGGAAGTGAGAGGGAGAGAGAAATAGAAACATCAATGATGAGAGAGATCATTGATTGGCTGTTTCCTGCAAGTCCTACACGGGAGATCAAGCCAGCAATTCAGGCATGTGCCCTGACTGGGAATCGAACCGTGACCTCCTGGATCATAGGTTGATGCTCAGCCACTGAGCCACACTGGCTGGGCAACTCACTTCTCTATAGGCAACCTGTTTTCTCTCTTTGAAAGGTTGTAGGATCCTCTGTCTTTGGACTTAAGAAATAACATCAGATATATTCCTGCTTGATAGTTGATAAGGGACAGTTTTAGTCTGGTGTCTTCCAATAATGGGAATTTTTTTTCCCACCCCATTCTCTCCTCTGGAACACCTCACCTGTTAAATGTATAGTAACTTTCTTGGATCTTTCACATATTATTTCAATTATTCTTTAATGTTTTCTATTTTTTTGTTCCTGAAGGCGGCCATTGCCTATTTTGCCAAATCAGCAATCTGCGTTACATCTCTCCAAATTAAAGATTAGCACCTCCATGAATTTTTAGATTGTGGAGATCACATTTTTTCTCATAACTGTTTCATAACAGCCTGTTCTTGTTTTATGGTTGCAGTATCTTCTTGAAAACATTGGTACTAATTAGAATTTTTAAAGTCTCTGTTTTTTTGCCTTCATTTCCTCAGTTGTTAATTACTGTGTCTTTTTTTTTTTCTGGTACTTCTCTTTCATGCTATTTTTTTCCCCTCATGATTGATGATTTTGGGATGTTTATTCAGAATCATAATAAATGATGAGATGGTCATTATTGGTAAACTAGAGGCCCGGTGCACCAATTCGTGCACGGGTGGGGCCCCTCTGGGTGACCTGCAGGGATTGAGCCAAAACCCAGTCCACCTGCAGCTCCTACCTGCTGCTCCCTACTCATGCCGGCCCCACTGCACCTGCCGCAGTCTCGCGCCTAATCAGTCCCGATTGGGAAAGGCTCGTGCTGCTGCAGCAGCAGCACTCATAACCGTGAGCCCTGCATCTGGCGCCCTCCCAAGGGGAGTGGCCTGCGGGATCGGGCTGAAACCAGCTCTCTGACATCCCCCGAGGGGTCCCGGATTGCAAGAGGGTACAGGCCAGTCCAAGGGGCCCCACCGGTGTGCGATCGGGCCGGGGAGGGACCATGGGAGGGCTCCAGGGCGTGTCCGGCCCTGTCTTGCCCAGTCCCGATCGGCTGGACCCCAGCAGCAAGCTAACCTACCAGTTGGAGCATCTGCCCCCTGGTGGTCAGTGTGTGTCATAGCTAGTGGTCAACCAGTCAACTGCCCCCTGGTGGTCAGTGCACGTCATAGCGAGTGGTTGAGCGGCCTTAGCATATCATTAGCATATTATGTTTTGATTGGTTGAACAGTCAATTGGTCACCGGATGACCAGACACTTAGCATATTATGCTTTTATTATATAGGATTATATAGGATTATATAGGATGGTAAGGGTTTTTCTAACAGTTGTGAAGGTCTCTGTTATACCTGCAGGCTATTCTGCCTGGGAGAGTGGGTGGGTCATGCTGACAGAAAAAAGCCCTTGATGGCCAAAGTAGGGGAAAGGCACTTTCCTCGAGCTACGTACTTTCTTAAGCTCAGTTACCCCCCCCCCCCCAAAACTCTAATGGGAAGTCTGGTTCTGTTTTCTGTTTCCTATAGGTCTTAGCCTGTGCTTGTTAGGTTGAGCGTTACTCTGCTAGTTTCTCCATTAATCCAGTGCCATGAATACACCTTTATGTTCTAGAAAATCTTCCACTTCTGGTTCCAGTATCAGTCTCTGCCTTGTCATTTCAGTGGGTTTTGAGGATAAACATGTGAGCTCAGTAAACCATCTTAAACCACAGTTCTCTAGAGTTTATTCCATTATAGCACTTACTAAAGTGTTATCTTCTGACTCCTCCTTACAGGGTGGGTTCTGGACATTACACAGCATATGCAACTCACGAAGGCCGCTGGTTCCATTTCAATGACAGCACTGTGACGCTGACGGAGGAAGACACCGTGGTGAAGGCCAAGGCCTACATCCTTTTCTACGTGGAGCGCCAGGCCAGAGCTGGGTCGGATAAACTTTAATACCTCCTCTAAATCGTTACTCGTCAACTCTGCCGGACAAACATTTCCAATTTTCCGTAAATACTTGATCCAAGATTTAATTTCATTATGCACTTTTCAATTTCCTATTTGGGGTTTAGTTTTATTTTGTCAATGGTAGTGAACATGGGCACCAACTAATTTTTTTTTTTTTAGTTCTACCAGAAAACCTCAGCAGATATTTTGATTTGCTGCTTTAGTGGTAATAATTCAGTTTTTATATGTAGTTCCAAGAACTTAGTTCTATTGGACGTTTTTATATTAATGTTTCAGTTCTCACTTTGAGGCACATTTACATCAATGCTTTGTTGCTCTCACATGCTGACAGTAAGGCATGTTCCTGACGAGAGCATTGCGGCTGCCTGCTGCTCTGCACAGCTGCGCTGGAGACCAGGCTGACTCTGAATCAAGAATCACGTGCATGTGTAATCTGTGGCCCATGAGATTTCAGTGACTGCTCAGGAATCATTCATTCTGCTTGTAAAGGTAACAGAGGGCATCATGAAGTAGACCAGGTAACTGATGCTCTTGTATTTCTCAAGGCTGCTGTTTATCAGCACGAACTAAATAACTTTGTTGGTTCAGTGATATCTGTACTGCAAATTCAAGAATTACTGTTGGTTTTTAGGTTTTGAGGTATATTTTTAATGTGTGTTTTTATGGAGAAGATAGGAGTACAGAAAAGACCAAATGCATTTAGTGTTTAAAAAATCCTCTGACTCAGCTACATGGTTTTGGTGCTCCCGGTGAGATGCGAACATGGCTTTGTTTGCATCAGCATCTGCTCCCCCATTCACTGTAGCACTGGGGATAACTGCATGTCACTGTGGTCTGACTTCGCCCAACTCCAGAGTTTATTTTGACCACCTACTTCTCAGGTAACACTGTGGGCCCTGCTTCTACAGAAGGAAATGAGTCTTTATGGCCCTATTTCATTGGCCTATCCAGCTTAGCAGAGCAGGTTGAAAGTATTCTCACTTTGAATAAGTAGTTCTATCTCTTAGTAGTCTCTCTAAATTTTCAGGAAAAATTGGTACAAGCACTATTCAAATTTAACTCAAATTGAAATTTGGAACTAGAATCCCATGTTAAATCCCACATTCCTTAGAGCAGACCATATCCACTAAACCAGTGGTTCTCAATCTTCGTTATGCCGCGACCCTTTAATACAGTTCCTCATGTTCCTCCAATTTCATTGTTACAAATTGAACATAATTAAAGCTTAGTGATTAATCACAAAAACAATATGTAATTATATATGTGTTTTCCGATGGTCTTAGGCGACTCTTGTGCAAGGGTCGTTCGACCCCCAAAGGGGTCGCGACCCACAGGTTGAGAACCGCTGCACTAAACACTTCTTTTTTAAAAAAAAATCTAATTGGCTTTATTCAACAATTTGTGAATCAGGTAGCATCCCACCCAGTAAATAGAAAGGTGCTCCCATCCGCTAACACTTCAGCATGACCAGGAGCAAACTGAGATCATGTCTAACCCTGACCTATCCAGGACAGGGGTCACAAGCCACACATTTAACTAAAGTTAAAGAACTCAGTTCTTCAGTCACTCCACGTGGCATGGGACTGCGCAGACCCAAGACGTTTCCATCATCTGCAGTTTTCTCGGACGGTGCTGGTCTAAGTTTTCACTCCAGAGGAAAAAAGCTTTGCCGTCATGTTTTGGTCTTACAACTTAGTCTAGAAGATAATTAAGAGGAACATATTTAAAATAGTTCACAATGCTAAATTACATTATGTGAACCATGTGAAATTGTTTTTGATCTACAAAAATTAGTTTCACTTAATTTGATCTAACATATCCACACCTTAATTTAACACCACTCTGATCTTGCTGAGCATCTCTGAGGAACCCAGGCTTTTCTACTGTAGAAGGTGCACAGCTGTAACTTGTAGCATCTGCACGCAGGTCGGGAGTCTCCCAGTGGGCAGCTGCCATTGCTTCAGCAGTAAAGCCTTGGGCAGTGTTGATGGTGATGGGGAAGAGCTGTATTTTTATACCAGATGGAATCTAGCAACAGACTGGACTACAACAGACCACTTGTTGGGGGAAGTGGTCCTCAGACAGGCTGGCACTCTTGGCTCAAAAGATGCACACATCTCTTTTGAATTGCTGTAGTATTTTTATTGCTTGATTTTACTTGAGCAGAACTGTTTGAATATCATGAAGGCTCTTTGGAAAAGTGATTGGACCCATTTGAATTGTGCACTTACTGCCAGTGATGTAAATGTGCCTGTTTGTATTTTAAAATTTAACTGTGTAGCCTTATCACACCTCTTTTAAAAGCTGACCTTTTTGTGCTCTTCAGGGCTTTCCCTGTGCCACACTCTCTCGGGCTTGTGTGGCTCCTCGCTCAGAGCTTCTGCGGAGGCAGGGCCTCACGCCGTCATGTGGCTCCTTGGACGAGAAACCTTTCTCAGAAGTCCTCCCACCTAGGTGGGTGATAGAACAGTTTGTGGCAACACAAATCTCTCTCCATGGTGGAGAAACCTTTGCTAATCCACTGTATTCTACTCAGTGTATAGTGATGACAAATGTAACAGAATTAAACCAGTCAAGTGTACTGGCCCTGGTTGAGTGTTAAATGTGTATCTCACCTGTGGAACCTACTCAGCAGCCTGGTTTCTGGGGTTGGGAACATACTTATTTCTTAAAGCCAAACCTCTCCTTCATTGGTTTAGTGTACATGCGTCTATTTAGATTTACTAACCCCACTTCAACCTCCACCCTCCCCTAACCTCTCATGTCCCCTCTGTTGCTGAAGTGGCCTCTTCCCTCAGGCCCTGGAAAAGAGCATGAACCGTCTGTTCCTGCAGCCAGGGCATGGGTCGCTGTGACCCGAGTGCAGCCACAGGAGCGCGCCCACAGCATGGGGAGAGGTGGGCGCGGGGCGGTGTCTTGCTGTGGCCCAGGTCCCTGCTCGCTGCCTGGATGCAGCACCTCCCCCTCAGGTCAGAGTGTGCCGGACTCCAGACCGCCCTCCGCACGTGTTGACTGTGCTATAATCATTTGCCATTAAAACCTAGTGTGTATGATGCCGAGAGGATTAATTGTGCAAGTGACTGATTTCATTTAAATTGTAATCACATCCCTTTTCTGCTTCACCAACCTGAACTGTTTTATGGAAAGTATCATTAAAAGTCTGGTCTCTTTCCTTTCGACTATTATTTCTGAACACCTTTCAGTGGAGCCAAGTAAATAATAATATCCTCCCTCAAGCTCTGGGCCTTGTCAGTCAGCAGGTGGTAAATCCTTACCGAACCCTCATCATCCGGGGCTGCTGGTGACTGTGGATCTGGATGAGGTGGCCTGTGGGTCAGGGTGGTGGTGGGAAGAGACCCTCCAGGGCTGCCGTCAGGAGCCTGTGGGAGCTCACTGCGGAATGAAGTCACCCTGTCTCTCCTGGGGCCAGCTGACCTTAGAGAAATGAGGTCGGCTCACCTTCACAGCTAGACTCGACCCTGAGGAACCAGGTTTTGGACTCTGAGCGAAGGATACTGATCTTTTTAAGTAAAAGAAGGCAAGTAAGAGCTGTTAAACATTCTGCTTTACGGTAAGCTACTGAATACTACCTTCTCTGCCCATGTCCCCTGTAAACAGAAAACAAAACAAAACAAAACAAAAAAAACAAGAACTGCCCTGTGTCCATACCATGGTTTTCCTGTTACTTATTGGCCTGTTCCTATAAGTCTTCTAAAACTGAAGATGGGGTGGTGAACACACAATACAATATACAGATGATGTATTCTAGAACTGTATACCTGAAACCTATATAATTTATTAACCAATGTCTCCCTAATAAAATTCAATGAAAAGGAAAAAAAAAACTGAAGACAGAGGTGCCTGCAGCCCAAAAGCTTTTGCCTCCAGGTCCCGTATCACAAGTTGGCAGCTGTGCTGGTCAGAGGTTGTGCAGCTGCTGCTGTTGCAGCCAAGGAGCCAAGCTCCACACAGAGAAGAGGAAGGCGCTGTTGCCATTAACAACCCAGGCCTGGGCCAGACCCCTCCCTGCCAAAATGCATGCCATGTGGGCCCACCCTGCATTCTGAGGCCTGTCCTACAGCCCCCCTCCCGGAGGAGCATGGGGGGGCAGGCTCTAGACCAGTGGTTCTCAACCTCCCTAATGCCGCGACCCTTTAATACAGTTCCTCATGTTGTGGTGACCCCCAATTTCATTGTTACAAATTGAACATAATTAAAGCATAGTGATTAATCACAAAAACAATATGTAATTATATATGTGTTTTCCGATGGTCTTAGGCGACCCCTGTGAAAGGGTCGTTCGACCCCCAAAGGGGTCGTGACCCACAGGTTGAGAACCGCTGCTCTAGACAGTCCCTGCCGGGTTCTGCCGCTCCAACAGGGCGGTGGAGATGCAGGCTGGAAGCCACACAAGCCGAATGACCCTTCCCAGTGGCCAGTGGCTCACACAGCCCTGCCTTTTAAGTGAATGAACTGCCTATTTCCAGGGTCAGCCCTCGGAGAAGTGCTGGTTTGGAAAGGCTTTGGGAGGGGAAGTGACGATCATACGGCTTTCTATTAAGCCCGTCTGTGCTGCTGCAGTGAACCTTTTGAGTGGGGAAGTACAGCTAGAGCCCAAAGAGGGCCTTCAGCTGTCATTTTTAACAGTTAAAATGATTAGCTTGAAATACTAGCTAGTTCCCCTTTCCTTGATAAAAGCTTCCTTTTAGCTGTTTTGCCAGTTCGTCCTCAACGGAGGACAGCTGAGACTGGCTTCTAGGAGCAAGGGAGCTGGTCAGAATCCTCTCCTTCCTCAGCTGTATCCGCTTTTAAAGGCAGGCAAAGCTGCACTGGGCCTGACCAAGCTGGAGTTCCTGAAGGGGGGTCCAGCATAGTTGCTTCCTCTCTCTTACCCTACAAACTGGAAATAAAGAATTCCTGTTCCTTCCAGTGCCAGTTAAATGGGAGAAGGAAGAAAGGTAGCCCCTTAGGTGGAGTTCCCTGGTCCAGCAGAGGGAGAAAGGGCTGCTCGCCTCACTCCTGTGGTCCGATGCAGCTTTTTACTATCGGCATTGCACCAACCACCCGCCCACCCTGTACACAAAGCCAGGCCCTCAGAGCAGGGAATGACAGCAGAGTCCAGGGTAGAACGGATTCGAGCAAGCACTGTTAGGAAATGGATCCATGTGTTGAGAAGTCTGGGTTACTTTAGGAGGGAGAACTTAATGGAAAAGACTTCCATGCGATCTGCTAAGCGGAACTAAGGCATTCACAAGGATGGTGGGAGGTTCGCTTAAAGGGAAAACTCGGCCTAAAATACTTTGACCTAAAGTTGTTTCACGCACTTTTGTATGAAGAGCTACTTTATCCATCCTGAGTGTTTTGGAAATACAGGCTAGATACAATAGGACACATTAGAAAAAGGTAAAGCAAGTAAATTTAAAACATGACACAGAAGAAACCAGAAAGGTAAGCTACTGAAGGTAAATGTTTTAGGAACAACTTGGGATAAAAGCAGAGCCCATAGGAGGTCCGGGACACCCCTCTGCCTGGTGGAGGGCAGCAGGGTTTGAAGGCAGATCAGCCCAGCCTGGAAAAGCCATCACCACTGAGTAAAAGCAGGAGAGGCATTATCCGTGTCTGCTCACAGCTCAGGAAACAGAAATGTCACCCTGAGCTCTTTCCACAACAGGCTTCTTCCTACTAAGAGTGGGGCAAAACTCCGATGTTCAGTAGGAGAGAAGAGCAGATCCTATTTACAGTCAGAGTCCCTCCGTGCGCAGAGCTGCAAGCCCGGACAGAGGTGGTCTGGCTAGCCACCTAGAATGAAATGCCTCGGGAAAAGCCAAACGAGCTCACTGCTGAACACCATTGTCAGCTAAAAGGAAAAGAAATCCCTTTTAAGGAAACTATTTAACTTCAATAGGCTGCTTTTCTGCCAGGATTTCCAATTCCTCTGAACATAAGCCGAGACACAGACTGCTGCACGTATGTCTGATACTGCCCCCCCTCCCCCCAGCTCCAGCACCAGTTGTTAGCCCAAAATAAACCCCATTCCACAACCATATATGTCCACGGGCCCAGAGCTGGGGAGGAGCAGGAGGTAGGTCAGGTCCCTGGGCCCCAGCCACACGCCGTGGCTGCTGCACACCATGCACATCACCCAGCTCAACCGAGAATGCCTGCTGCACCTCTTCTCCTTCCTGGACAAGGACAGCAGGAAGAACCTCGCCAGGACCTGCCCCCAGCTCCAGGACGTGTTTGAGGACCCCGCGCTCTGGCCCCTGTTGCACTTTCGCTCCCTCGCAGAACTCAAGAAGGACAACTTCCTCCTGAGCCCGATGCTCAGGAACCTCTCCATCTGCTGGCACTCCAGCCGCGTGCAGGTGTGCAGCATTGAGGACTGGCTCAAGAGCGCCTTCCAGAGGACCATCTGCAGCCGGCATGAGAGCCTGGTCAATGATTTCCTCCTCCAGGTGTGCGACAGGTAGGTCGCCTCCTGAGCAGCGCTGGCACTGGCATCCAGAGCTCTAGGAGGCTTCTGGGGAGCAGGGAAGAGCAGCTTACAAGACCTAGATGGCTCTGCCTCCAGGGTCCTCAGAATAGGCCCAAGGCAGACCCTGTAGGGCAGTGGTTCTCAACCTTGGCTGCACGTTAGAATCACCTGGGAATCTTTTTAAAATCCTGATTTCTGGGCCTCATCCTCCAGAAATTCTGTTTCTTTGTTACTAATGTTGTGGCCCCACCCCATAACAAAGAAACAGAATTTCCGGAGAATGCGGCCCTGAAATCAGGATTTTAAAAAGATTCCCAGGTGATTCTAATGTGCAGCCAAGGTTGAGAACCACTGCTCTAGGCCCACCCCAAGCACAGCCCCCAGAAGATGGATAAAATCATGAGGAAACAAGCTCCTCTTAGCCTCACAGGTCTTAGAGCAGAGGAAGAACTGGCTTCAGCCGCGCTGTCCTTCAGGCGCTGTCCTCCCTGGCAGCCATTACGTGCTAGGTGGGTCCCGCTGAGCCAGGGTTTTCAAGGTCAGACCTCATAAGAAGATTCCTAGATTCAGCAATCAGCTCCCCCTGCCCCCAACACACACACACACACACACACTCTCTCTCTCTCTCTCCCTCCCTCCCTCCCTCCCTCCAGCAAGCAAACCCCAGGGGTCATGAACTGCAGCTGTGGAAGGAGAGCTGGGATGCTCTGGATTAGCTGAACCCAGCCAGACTCAAGGGAGGGGTGGTGATACGTAGTCATGGTCTCCCCAGTAGAAACGTACTAATCTGCACAGTTCTCCTAGGGAAGGGTGTTTTAGCCTAATTTTTCAAACCAATGCTCTAAGAGGTCGGATGATTTGCCCACAATCTAGGATTGCCAGATTTTAGTAAATAAAAATTGAAGACTCCCAGTTTAAATTTCAGATAGAATATCTTTGTTAAAAGTATGTCCAAATACACCCTGTATTCGATACGTCAACCCTACAGCAGACAGGCTGAGCCACATGCCAGCTCCCTGTGGTCACAGCCTCCTGCCCAGAGCAAGAGCACAGACGTCCTCGGCCAGGCTCTCCCAGGGCCTTCACAGTGCGTCCTGCCTTCGGGCAGGGCAGCCGCTGGCTACTAACACTAGGCTGGGCCAGCCAGGCAGCACGACAGGAATAGAAGGAAATGGTGTCGAAGCCCACCTGTTCTTAAGGCAGTAGGAAGAAAAGATAGGCTGGGACTAGGCCCTCACAGGACCAGGCCATTCTGATGGGTTTAACAAGGCCCAGAAATCAGACTGGGGGGGTGATACAAATGGGGCAGAAAGCTTGCTCTGAAGTTGCTCTAATCCCCCAAACCAGCAAGGTGTGGAATGGGCCTCCCAGGCTCCTATATGGGTGCAGCAAGGGATTGGAGGTTGGGGTTCTGTGCTGAGTCCCCCAGTTCTATTGTCCGATTATGTGACCCCAACCCAAGTATTTAAACTTCCAACCTCATTTTTTCATCTGTAAAATAGGACAAGTCGCCTATATCACAGGATAGGAGGGTTAAGTGACACAGCAGCACTGGCATGTAGTGCATATAGATAAGTGTCATCAAAGCTGGTCTGGCATCAGCGGGGCTGGCTGGGCAGGGAGGGAGTTGGCTCTTTCTCCTTCCGGTCTCTTCCTGCATCAGGATTATTCTAAAGGTTCTTAGAGGAAGGGATCACTCACCACCTTGGGGCTTAAACACCTAATCCCCATAACCCTCCTGAAGGTAACAATTTCTTCCACTTGACACAAGGAGGTGGCTCCACAAGGTTCAGACATTTGTCCTGGGTCAAACCAGCAAATCAATCACAGGCAAGTCACTGGAGCTCTCTGGGCCAGTGTCTTCATTCACAAAATCGAGGGTACAGAGGCGGATGTGAAGACTAAGGCAGACATGTGAACCTGGGAGGGTGGGGAGGGTTCAGTGTGCGAAATGTGGCCAGGCAGGTGCAGTCAAGGGACTGGGGGAGCTGATGGGGGAAGGGACAGGGACTTCCCCCTCTCAACTCCTCCCTCTGCTTACAGGGAGCCAAGGCCGGTGCCCAGCAGGGGTCCTTCTTCTTTTTAAATATATATTTTTATTGATTTCGGAGAGGGAGGGAGGGACATCAATGATGAGGGAATCACTGATTGGCTGCCTCCTGCACACCCCTCACCCTGCAGAGTGTCTCATAGATTCTGTCAGCCCTTTATCTCAGTTCTTCTGCCTCTGCTCTTCCCAGCTCTCAACGACTGAGCTACACTGGCCAGGCCCGTAGGTCCTTCTTGACCGGAACTGTCTGTGTTTACAACTACCCATTCTCTCTACACCCCAAATAAAAATCCTCATATCCCCACTGGCATTATTCCCTCCCTACTGCCCACCCGGAACATTAGGCTGAGTGACTTAGCCCAGGGCACACCGCAACCAGGCAAGTCCAACTTGGCTCCATCAGGCCCTGGCAAGGCTGGGTAGAGGGTCTCCAAGCTTCCTGGACAGGCTACCGCTGTCCCTGACTGCGCACCCTGGGCCTGGTTTGTCGTCTGGGGTCACAGTGGGGAGGCAATGACTGCCCCTTCAGCTGAGCTGAAACCAGGGTTTAGAAGCCAGAGCCCCCAGCCTGCCCTCCTTATGGCTGGAGCGGGCCTGTCTCTACGCCGGGCCCCCTGGAAGCCCTTCCTCCCTCCTCCGCGGCCAGGAGAGGCGGCCTGGCCGGGCGCGCTCACCACGCCCGCTTCTCGCGCACACGGAAGGCAGCGAGCGCGGAGAGATGTCCCTCCAGGACCCAGCGCCGCCTCTGTCCCAGCAGGACCGGGGCTCCTGGGCCTAAGCAGCCACGCGGAGTGCGGCACGGGGAAGGGAAATGTGGCCCCAGCCCGGGCTCGGCTCCCGGCCGCAGCATCGCAGCCAGGAAGTGCCTTCAAGTCGCTGGGCCGTTCCTCCTGCTACGGGTCGGGCACCGCCTCCCAGGGCTCCTGGGGGGACGACCGAGACAGCGCGCTCCGGCACCGGGCACCGGCGTGGCCGGGGCCGCCAACCGCGTCCTCCTCGGCCCCGCCCCTGTGACGGTCACCCTCTCTCCACAGGTGCCCCAACTTGGCGTCCGTCACGCTGTCCGGCTGCGGCCACGTCACCGAAGACTGCCTGGCGCGGCTGCTGCGCTGCTGCCCGCGCCTCCGCACC